TGAAAAAAAACTCACCTTTTCCGCGGATCCGCGGAAAATTGCCATGTATGAATATATGTTTTCGATATAGAATAGTCTGTGCGTGTTTACTGTACTTACTCTTGTGCTGTGTCGATCATTCTGGATACCATTGTCCAGGACCTTGGCTTCTAGCTGTGCCTCAGTGAGAGGCGGCCTGAGGAAGGGAGGCTGTATTTCGACAGTCTGAGGCTTCCGCGAACGACCCGTATATCTGAACAAAAGAAATGTCGATGTCACTCATTATTTATTCCAATGTAGACTCAATAGAAAAATGGGAGCGCAGTAGGGAAAGAAAAAAGAAATTCATCAAAGAGGGTTTTAAAAGATAAGGGAAAACTGACCTGGGTGCTAGTGAGCTGCAAAGCACACGCGAAATATTCCTAGCGCAGCCATTTGTGAAGGGGTTAACACCTCCACGAAATTTTCCTGTCACCTGAAGAGTGCAGGAGATGGAAGGAAAAATAAAATAACATTCGCATTAGTTTTGTCTGCCGGATTAACGAACAACAACAATAATACAGTTAATTTGCAGAGCATTTTTCAAAAGAACTCAATCATGGTTTACGGGTTTAGAACAACAAAACTATGCAGATTAACATACATTAAAAATCTAACAAAAAACAGAACACGTTTTGAAAAGCAAGAGTCCGTTGATTAAAGTAATATGTGCGGTGTGGAATAATTTAGAGGTTGCAGTTTAAGTGGTGTTGTTAAAGGGTCTCAACGTTCACATACCTGCTCATTTGTGGTCCGACCTCTAGCCACGAGCACAATATGGAACCCAGTCAGGCCAGCAACTGGGACAAAAAACAGACCAGCAACACACATCACAGCCATACTGGTGGAGCAGAAGCTAAGGAGACAAGCCAAAACCCCAACAAAGGCAAATACGAGCAAAGAAAAATCAAATTAATACATCAGGAACAATTGCTGCAATTGCTGCATCATGGACACAGCGTTAAGGATACGTGACTGCAGCATGTGGCATGTCGAGTTGCTGGCGGTGGTGCAGCACATAAACCAGGCCAAAGCCAAAAACGTTCACGATGTGGGTGGTGAGTGACAGCAGAAAGAGGAAGAAGTAGCGATAGTTGCGCCGACCAATACAGTTGTTCACCCAGGGACAGTGGTGGTCAAAGTCCTGACAAAGCACAGAGGAGAACATATTCGGACCAGGAATCCAGGACACATTTCATCCAAAAGTCAACCTCATCTAATCATACACTTGAACACAACTAATGCACTGTTAATATTGGAGCCGAAAGTATGTGAAAATGTCTTATCACAATTATTTTATCACAATTGATGACCAAAATTATCATTATCACAATATCACTAAAATAAACAAACACAAGAAAAATCCCACCTGAGCTGAAAACATTGAAAAAAAAATAATAATCAGCAACAAGTTGTGAGTTTCAACAGATCTCACCGGGTTGTCCCGGCAGCGAGTCACTTGCATGATTTGTTTGGCAAAGTTTATCTTTCTATCTAAGAAAAAAAAACTATGTCCTTGCTGACGCAAACCGCCCATTATTTTCATCCAGGCTTGGGACAAAAATTGTAAGACAAATTGTAAGCAGCAACAACCAAAGTCACTTTTCACACATGCTAGAGCCCACATAATGTACTCTAAAATAATTAGGTGACGATGACGGATTTAATGGTGGCAGGACACTATTCAAATATTAATGTCATTAATCAGAGGCTTTGTTATTCACCATTTTCCTTTTAATTAAATCCAAATGTTTTTCACAATAAAGAATATTTTCCAATTCAAATGGATTTGGTTGACGAGAGACATGCATGAACTAACTGCTCAATTCAAACAACGTTTGTCCGCCAGGCTACTTTGTAATTCCAATTTTAATTGAGTGTGATTTTAGAATATGATTTCAACACGCAGTTTGACTTTCACAAGGCTCAAAAGAACAATTTCAAGTTGGCTACATTTAAGCTTTTGTTAAACTCTAGCATTCTACTCACGTGACACCTGTTTCTACTTGGGGCGCACGAACAAGCTTTGCTTGATGCTAAAGGGCTAAAGTCAGTGATACCTGCAGGTAAGACGTATACCGCAAACCCTTATCAATAAACACATAAATGTGGTGGGCAGTTTATGATAAGCAAGTCAGACAATGTAAGTGTTGTCCACATACCTCCACACAGTTGTCACAGACCGAGCAATGTGAGCATCGGGGTGGTCGGTAGAAACGACAGGTGGAGCACCACTTCATGCGCACCTGGATTCCTTTGATCTCAACAGTCTTGTAGAGCGGCGCACGGAAATCATCCTCTTTGTCCTCATCTTCCTCCGCTATATTGGGGGGTAAGGACATAAGGTAAGACTTCAGCTGCTTTACAACTGGCAGGATCAAATGGAATTAACTGGGTTTGCATGACTGAAACTTTTAAGACACAGGAACACTTTATTCCAAATGAAACTGTACCAAATTATAAGTGACAGAAAAAGAATTTCACGAGGCATTTTCCATTACAAATTTGGTTCTGGTTCACTTAGCGTTTAAATGCAAAAGTTGCTAAGTAAGCATATCGATAAAATGGCTGCCCAAATGAAAAATGTTTGGAATGATTATTGTGTGAATAGATGTATACAGCTATTTGAACCAGAAGTGCAAGGAGTCGAATTAAATATTGTGGTTGAGCAAGAGCATTCAAATTTATCATAATGTCAACCTCATACGATGACAGTGTCATTGTTACAATTTTGCTTGTATGCACATGACACACTTGTGACGTTATCCTTATGTACAGCTAAGAAAAAAAGAATTATCTTTACCTCGGGGGAAAACTCCCGGATCCATGAAGGTGGCCATACAGAAGTTGGCCAGTGTGAAGAGGAAGATCACCGCAATATAAATGGGAATGACGGGGGAGAAATATTCGTACAACCAAGGAGAGCTAGAAAAAAGAAAAAGACATGGTCATTAAAAAAACAAAAAAAAAAAAACAAAACATAGTTCTCTGAATTTATCAGTCATTCCTTCATCACTGCACAAAGAAAGGACTCAAGTTCTTGATTTGTCTGTATTGTGTGTATTGCCTTGTAGAAATCTGGACTTCCTGCAGTCACATGGTCAACTGACAACAGAGACGTTGGTGAGTGCAACTGAATCAGTGAAGTTGTGTCATTGCTCCATACTGACAGTGGGGAAATAATGGCTTTCAGCTCTTGGCAGCAAGCTGTTATAGGATTAAAAACTGTTGCTCATGAACATTTACTATTCAACACCTCAATGAGGGGAAATTGGACAACCTGGGGCTCTTTTCAAAAAGATCTGTTCATCCATTTTCTATCCCACTTTTCCTTGCCTTTGGAAGTAACCCCTACTACCCAGAGAAAACTCACGCAAACACTGGGATAACCTCCACACAGGAGGGCCTGTGGCGAGATTCAAACCTAGGACCTATCAACTATGAGACGGCTGCGCAAACCAGCAGTACACTCAGCACTGTTTACCATGTAAATGGACTTCTAAATGTGAGGAGAAAACACTTCCAAAACCTATTTTGCTTTCTTCCTGTACACAGTTTGCAGGAAAAAAGCATTTGAATCCATTATGAGTTGGCAGCATAAAAAGTTAAACAATTCTTGCCATCATTTTGTGGACCCAAATATGACAAACTGTGCACCCACACGATACAAACCATGTAAAAAAATGTATTCAGTGTTCATGCACTTCCTTTATGCAGTGAGGAGATACTGTACATCGCACAGCGCATCATTTAATTTACACTATGTCGACGGCAAGAGACTCACGTGAAGCAGAAGAAGAGTGTGGTGGATCCGACGAGGAAGGTGGTAGCTGCAGACACCGGAACATATCGGCTGGGTTTAAACGGACGGGGAGGAGCAGAAACCTGGCCACCCACTCCTCCCCCAACACCCCCACTGCTGAAGCCCGGCATCAGAGATGGAACAATGGGAGGAAGACCAAGCGAGAGGTACCTATCTACTGCCGAGCTACTTCAAATGCTGTTCGACCAGTTAATATGACAAATTTGGCATTTGCCTGGGAGATGCCATGGATTACCCCGAAGCAAGCAGCACATGAATGGAAACAGTCGGCAAGACTAGCCAGCACTACAACACTCAATCAAATATATACGCTTTAAAATCATACAACAATATACAATTCTACTTGCATGTTTATAGTATGTAAATATAAAATTGTCTATGCAGAATTATAATTTAAGCATAAAAAAGCAGGAGCAAGGTGATACAAAAATATGTGTAGGAAATTCATAAATATTTTTGTATGGCTTCAATGGTACTGCGTTTGGTGCAAGAAGATAATTGGGTCTTCACTGTAACAACCCTGCTTGAGCATAGAAAAGCACAGCCTCAGACAGTTTTTTCAGTGAATTGCAATTGTTGTGCTTAAATTCTGATTATCTAGCTTGGAACGAAAATAAAAAGTAAATCTCAAAGTGAGGGAGCAGAAAATTAAAGATTTTGGCGGATAAAGGGCCAGCAGGCGCAGAGCAGATGCACATTGAGGAAAACAGGCAAAGGATTGAGCACAGTAGCTGCTAATGACTTGTGTGATTGTCCCAAAGGGGCTTATTTAGGCACTGGGTGGGTGGGTGGAAGAAGTTGAGGATGGTTGACGGCTGCAGGCGGGACGGTTCCACACTGTTGAACTGTCAGCAGCGATATAGAACTGGAGAAAAGTCCAAATCTAACTCCAAAGGCGTCTTTGGAAAGTTGCTCAAATGTATACAGTCACATCTATATCCTTATAAAACTCTCGCCAAGTCCATGACAGATCCTTTGAGACCGCTGCCCTCAGTTTGTATGTCAATGTGGCAACAGGAGGGGAAACAAAAGAAAAAAAAACAAAAAAAGAAATCAACTCATTCCAAAAAGAAGCTCTGTGCACGTCACTGCGGCGTCACTGTACTCGTCCAGGTCTGGATGTAGAAACCTCTCCCACCTCCACATTCTCTGCACACAGACCTCCTCTCCCATTGTGCAGCTTTGAAACACAGCCATCTGCAACATGGCGGCTACATTCTCTAAAGCGTGTTAGTCCTTATAGCTTGTCCCCGTGATATTATTCCTCCACACCTTGTGATGGCGGATTGAAGGAAGCCCCTGTAAAAAAATAAATAAATAAATAAAATGATCAAAAAATACCATAAATGTCAGTGTGAATGTGAATGGTTATCTGTCTCAATGTACCCTTATCTAGCAGAGTAACATGATGTTGGCGAAACAAAGAAGGCCTTTAAAGGGTTCTGTTTTTACGCAAAAGCAGCGCTGTACAATTTCCTGGTAAAACAGATCTCAAAAGGCAAAGAAAATTTGGGAATTCAAACCATCATAATTCATGATGAGAGCAAAGAATGTGAGACCCCTTCAGCTCACTGAGCAGCTAAAGCAGTGATTCTAAACCAGGGGGATACAGATTCAAAGAGGTCGTAAAAATGAAATAGGTCGGGACGTGACAATAGGAAAATACGGGTCCCTACAACAGTTATCTAAAGCAGAGGTGGTCAATTAACTTTGCTCAGGGGGCACATGAGAAATTAGAGCACTTGCCAACTTTTTCTATATTATTTTCAATGTATTTTGAAAAAAATGCATTGTCTTGTTTCAATAAATTGCTACATGTCCTGATTATGTTATATATGTGTAATGTTATAAATTTGAAAATACAAATTTTATCAACAAATTTTGATAAGAGTATTATCAGGCCCTCCTCCCTTTCACCGTGCAAGAAATAAGGATGTTGCTCACATCAGGACCATTGCTGTCATTTTTGCCACTCCTTTTTTGGGGAAAAATAATTGCCGGAGGAGTCCAACAAATTGCTAAAGACAGCAAAAACGTGGCCAAATTGGCCACATTTCAGACAAGTCATAGCTCTTGCTCGCTACCTCGCTTGTACTCAAGCTCAACACGTGTATACATACAAAGAACAGTTTTCAAAATAAAAGCCCCATGTATTTTACATGTTACTTTGACTTTTTGGTCATTGCGAGGGCCAGTCGGAGATTGTGGTCATACTTGGCCCAGAACTGATCTAAAAAATGTATTAAGTGTGGTTTATTTGGCTTTGTTGTATTTTATTTATGATGCCGCCAAAGAATAATACAGTGATGACGAAGCGAAGTGTGATAATACCGATAGAATACAATACAATACATGCTGATTTATATAGCGCTTTCACAACAGCTGCAGGTGTAACAAAGCGCTTAACAAAACAGTTAACAAAAAGTAAAATAATAAACACAACATAAAACACGGACAGTCATGCAATGCTAACCACTTTTCCCTCACATGCTTTGTTGTTTAAGGAAAAGTTTAGAGAAAAAAAAAAGGTCTGGCTGGTTAATACAATATGAGCAATACCAATTACATACACAAATTAATTTGATCTACCAGTAGCTAACATAAATGCACTTTCTATACACTACGCAAAACACAGTGCAATTAATTCTGGGACACTCTATGTAAAATGATGCTATGTACCTGTCAAGTGTGTGATTTGACTTTATTTTTACACGCCTATGACAGCGGCAATGTTCATTTTATTTGAAGTATGGACTTTAAAGTTAACAGGTTTTATGATGGTTTTAACATGGAATGAAAGAAAGAAATTTCATCTGTGCTCTATGTTGCACATAGAGCATATTTGACAAGAAAGCTGACTTGACTTGACTTGAATCGCTTCTGGGTCGTTTTGGTTAGATATCAAAACAACTTGGATGTCAAACGGCCTCACGGGACACAATTATTTTTGACATTGAGTGTTCTACTGCTTTCTTCCCAACAGTTAGCAGGAGAAATCTTCCTTCAAAATTCATAGACAGTACCAACTCAATTCACTATACTCAACAGCTAATTACGTATCACATTACATATTCATTCACTTTGCTACACTGAACAGAAGCAGAACCTTGACAAGCACATCGCAGGAAGATTGACTAACTGTTTGAAAGATGTATATGAGTCAGTTTTTGTTTCACCATCACTACCTTACGACATGGAGGAATTATTAAAACATAAAGACACAATGAAGAACAGTAAGCTTTTTAATTATATCCACCCATTTTACCTACAGAGGTGGGAAATCGGATTCATCCCAGCCGGGTTGTCCCACGCGTTTGAGGTGAGAGTATACAACAAAAATGGCTGATTCTCAGAAATTTTTTGATGTTCTGGTTCATCACAACACATTTGACCTGCAGCAAACCTTCATCATTGATTGTATTTACGCTATATAAATAAAGGAATAGCTTATCTTCATTTCATTCATTTCACCAAATATTTTAATGCGGGGTGAATACGGCATATCTTCACCCAGTCAGTGAAAAATCACTTATTACTTGAAGTTATGTCAAGTAATTAAATTAATGTTTGAAGAAATATATGTTTATAATGTTTGTAAATAATATCAGGGTCCCTGTCTCCATGGGGGGAGGTCACCATTGTCAAGTGACATCAATAAGTGAACTCTTCCTTTTTTGTTCCAACTATGCAACTCGGACCTCCCAGTTCAAAGGGCAGTTCAAGTGCACTTTTCCGAGTCTGGAGTCGGAAAAGTCCCAACTTCCTCAAATACCGCATTAATTTCGTAAACAGCCACCAAATGAATCATATTTCATAAGAAATTATATCTCCATTGTGCCAAAGGTAAGATAATAATATGCCTACAGTTAACTGTGGAAAGAAAGCTTAAAATAGCATGATTCTGAGACCGTTTCAAGGGGAAGGCAACTAAAAAATTCTCTTTAAAATTATTTGCGCGCGGAATACTAATCAAGCAGCAAAACAGTTTTTTAAATCCATCTCATGGAAGTTGTGGGCATTTTGTCACTTGTTGAATGAAAATGACATCACAGTTGCTCAGGATAAGGTAATGACCAATCACAGCTCAGCTTGCAAATGTCACATCACCAAACTCAGAAAACAGGCGAGCCATGTTTGGTCAAGACCTGAGCCCTGAGCAACTGTGATATCATTTTAGTTGACAGCAAGTGGCAAAATGACCACCCCTTGAGATGGATAAAAAGTCAATTTCGCTGCTTGACTCGTATTGCAGAAAGACAATACTGTATTAATCACAATAGTGTCTTCAGGTTAGAGGAGCAGCATATAACACATAATTGTAAAAATAATTTTTGAATTGACTTCCCCTTAGGCGGCCCGGTGGACCAGTGGTGAGCACATCAACCTCAGAGTGCAGAGGTACCGAGTTCGATTCCAGCTCCGGCCTCCCTGTGTGGCGTTTGCATGCTCTCCCTGTGCCTGCGTGGGTTTTCTCCCGGTACTCCGGTTTCCTCCCACATTCCAAAAACATGCATGGCAGGCTGATTGAATACTCCAAATTGTCCCTAGGTGTGAGTGTGAGCGCGAATGGTTGTTCATCTCTGTGTGCCCTGCGATTGGCTGGCAACCGGTTCAGGGTGTCCCCCGCGTACTGCCCGAAGACGGCTGAAATAGGCTCCAGCACCCCCCGTGACCCCTGTGAGGATAAGCGGATCGGAAAATGGATGGATGGATGGACTTCCTCTTTATGTTATATATCAATGTTAGAGAATGGAGTCGCTTCCAAAATATTTGTAACAGAGAAATGTGCAAGGGTGGCCCGGTGGTCGACTGGTTAGCGTGTCAGCCTCACAGTGCAGCAGTGCAGGGTTCGATTCCGGCTGCGGACTTCCCGTGTGGAATTTTCATGTTCTACCCAAGCCCACGTGGGTTTTCTCTGGGTACTCCAGTTTCCTCCCACATTGCAAAAACATGCATGGCAGGTTAATGGAACAATCTAAAATTGTCCCTAGGTGTGAGTGTGAGCGCAGATGGTTGTTCGTCTGTATATGCCCTGCGATTGGCTAGAAACCAGCTCAGGGTCTCCCCCACCTACTGGCCGAAAACAGCTGGGATAGGCTGCAGCGCGCCCCGTGACCCTTGTGAGGAGGAGCGGATGGATGGATGCATGTTTAAGTACATCATCATTGCCTCCATTTCTTTCTAAACATGGAGAATAACTAGATTTAACGTTTTCCCAGAAATATAGTATAAGAATTATAAAATAATTATAATGATGATAATATTGATAATAATAATAATTATAACGTAGTTGAGCAGCAAGGAAGAGGAACTGCCATCTGGCAGTGTTGCCGTATAACAGTCCTAAATGCTGCAACAGCACATACTGTGGTAAAACCCGTTGTGGTGAACAATAAATGTACGGGTCTATGTCTTCAAAAATGCATAGGTATTATGCACGACTTACGTATTGTGTTTAAATGTTATCCTCATTTGGAATCTCATCTTCTATGTGGATTTAATCAGCCACCCCCCGTCGCAAGATGAAAAACTAGTTCGTACGGTGTGGAACCCAGTGAAAACGGATCTGGAGGAACAAGCGAAATCTGATCGTTTGGACACGCCCCTCTAACAAACAAACGAGTTGGGACAAACCCGGAGCTGTCGTACTGACACCGTGACACTGTGCCTGTTGTTAATCATCTCATCTGCCCCACACCAAATCCCCCCCCCAATCCCTGCACTATAATGGATGTTAATCCTAAAATCTCAGCGTCGCCCGTCATGTTGCCGCAACAATTCACAGCTGAAGCTAACGTTCACGTCACCAGGCGTCCAGTCAAGCAAAATGCAATCGGTTTAATGCGTAGCGATGCCCAATGACCCTTTGCTGTTTTCTGTCTGATTACTATTCACCGGCTGATAGACCATAGCGCCATGTTTCACTTATCTGTCCTAATTGAGAACTGGCGTTGAACAGGCCGGGGCAGTGTTCGGCATCATCATCAGGCAACACACTCAACCACATTAAATTAATGCAATGACCGTCGACGTTACGTGTCATCCCAAATGACATGACATAAACAACGGGTTTTCAGGCAGTTTCCGCGTGATTTGTTGCTCTTACCTTGCCTGGAAAGTTTTTGCGACAGCAAACGCTAACGGAGTTAGCCGACGAGCAATGAAACCTTCACACTGTCGACTGCGCCTCTTTGGCTGCCACCGTTCATCAAATATTCAACACCGTTTTACCGTTATTACTGACAAAAGAAAGCCACACGCACCTAAATATCCAAATCGTGAGCGATTTCCCTCGTGGATGAGAAGTAGTTTCGGTTCAACCTTACTTAGCCGATAGCAGATCGCATAGCTCGTCTAGGCCGACAACGGAATCCCGGAAAAGGAGCATTGTTTGCTCATCCTCCAGGTGGGTCGAGTAGCCAATCAGAAACCGAGAGGCGTGGTCTTACGAAACTGCTCAAAAACATATTTCTACACTTTGCCATTTTCCTCGAATACACAGAATTGCAGAAAACGACCGGAATTAAATTTAAAACAATTAATCAATGTTATATCTTGATTGTCATTACTTGTAAACAATTACTGTAAGTGAAAACTGAAAGTTAACTGAAAAGGTACTCGAAATTTCTAACGTAAAAAAAGAGACAATAAATGTAAAAATAATAATTGGATTTAATGTATATATCCTGTATTGTTATATGACATTTGTCTGCAAGAAATGCATTTTTATCAATTGTTGATCATGCTATTTCTAACAAGTGTCCATTCTGGAATTTGTATGAATATGTTTTTGTCAAAAAAGATTTCTTCGTGTGGTATTTTCTCTGGTCCTGTGTTAATTTCTGGGGTCAATTACAAGAAGCAAGAAAAATTTAAGCACCACCTCTTTTGTTTGTTTGTTTGTAAGGCAAGACGGCATAAACAAGGTGAAGGGACAATTGCACTCTGACCCTAACTTGAACATTGTGGTCTTTTGAAAGGGTAACATGAAGGCGAGTGTGCCAACATAGTTCTGCTTCAACAAGACCACAGGAAAGTTTTATTCTTTTTGGGAGAAGTGGGGTGATGAACGGAGTTTCATGCAGTGAGTTGCAACTAAATTAATTTAGCTTTGTGCTAGTTTGGGCTGAGTTTTGACTATTTTGTAGCAATGTTTTTTATTCACTTTAAAAAAAAAAATTCATCAAAACTCTGATATAGCTCACAGTTCAGTCTACCAGCGGTGAAGAGAGAAAGCTTCCAATTTTTAAATATTTTCCTTGGGTACCATTTCTTAAAATCAAGATGATGTTATGTTCATTATCCCATTGGAGATTAGTAACACCTCTTTCAGAAACTGAGGCAATTACATGAGAATTGAGAAACGATGCAATCTGGTAGAAAATCTAACTCAAATTTTGAAGAGTTGAAAACAAAATGAAACCTATTTTATCCACTTTGTAGTTATTGTGTTCCAAGCTAAATGTTGGTTGATTAAAAAAAAAAAAAAAAGAATATTTGTATTAATTAAAAAGCCAAAGTTGGAAACAAAATTTGACAAAATCCCCACATTTCAGGAAATTTTATTACATTTGGTTTTAGCACAGCTAGTGTTCATAAAAAAAAAAAAAAAAGAATATTTGTATTAATTAAAAAGCCAAAGTTGGAAACAAAATTTGACAAAATCCCCACATTTCAGGAAATTTTATTACATTTGGTTTTAGCACAGCTAGTGTTCATAAAAAAAAAAAAAAAAGAATATTTGTATTAATTAAAAAGCCAAAGTTGGAAACAAAATTTGACAAAATCCCCACATTTCAGGAAATTTTATTACATTTGGTTTTAGCACAGCTAGTGTTCATAAAAAAAAAAAAAAAAGTATATTCGTATTAATTAAAAAGCCAAAGTTGGAAACAAAATTTGACAAAATCCCCACATTTCAGGAAATTTTATTACATTTGGTTTTAACACAGCTAGTGTTCATAAAAAAAAAAAAAAAAAAAAGGAAGTGAGTGGGGACAAAAATGACCATAACATAGTGGAGGGTTATTTATAATAAGTACCGGTATATATTTATATATAGATATTTACACAGAAAACTCTTTGTTTGCAAGGTGAAACATGAAGAGTAACTCAGGAATGTTAAATATGACCTGCAAAGTAAGGTGTCAAGTGTTGAACAAACAAATGAGCTGTCAAGACTTTCCCACATTCATTGATAGTTCAACATCATCGAGTGTATCCTGTAAACATGTTTGTATTTTGTTGTCCCTTTATTTAGTCTGAAAGCAAACTCATTAAGAATCTGTTGTTGTCAAGAGGGCCCTTGGCAAAATCCAAGATATAGTATTTTTAAGGGCAGTTATAACATTAATCTGAACCAGTAATGGACAGCAAAGTGCAGCACATCTGCCTCACACTTCTTTGGCAAGCTTCCTCTGTGCAGTTTGCATGTTTTCCTGTGCATGTGTGGGTGTTCTTCATGTACTCCGGCTTCCTCCCACACTCCAAAACCATGAGTGGCAACTAGCCCGGGGTGGACCCTGCTTCTTGCACAATGTCAACTACAATAGTCTCAGCTCACTCTCAACCCTAATGAGGACAAACGTTACAGAATATAGATGGGTGAATAAGCAGTGCACAAACGTTAAGGGAGACGTGAACTTGTATTCTTAAAGAACATCTTTTCGATAAGATGAAAAAAAAAAACGTTTGTATTTCCAATGGGACAAGAAAGAAAATGACAACAGACTATGAAGTATCACCTGTCAAAAATAGCAAAATGCAATCTAGTTACTAACCTGGAAACTATATTACAATAGATTCGGGTATTTAAGCACAGCATTATTTGATGTCATCAGGACCAGCATAGCCCAAAAACACAAATACACAAGAGCGCGTCACCTCATTTAGTGTCCATAAAACGTATGTCCATGATGAGCAGTGTGTGTCTGGGCAGCGGTCTGGGTGCTGGGGACAACACTTTCATCACCTGTGCTTGTGTGTCGACATTGGTCACCACAATAAAGCCACACACGGGACTCTCCACGATTCCCTTTCTTGATCCCTCATCTCCATCCTCTGCACTGCTAACACTCAGCACATGATAGGTGAGGTCTCTTCCCGGCGTCACAGGGACCAGTTTCAGTTGAGTGTCATCCTGAGACATTCCTAATGGCAGGCATGAGTCTGGTATGGAAGGTGCCCCGATTTTATAGATTCGCACATCAGAGAAACGCACTTCAAATGAGAAAGGGTAGAAGGACACTCCCCGGAAGCCGTAGAAGTATTCTCGGATTTTCTCATCCCGAACCTCGCGTCGGCACTCCTTGGAGCGCTCAACCACTCCCCCTGATTTGGGCAGGAGCACGACACGGACAAAGTGAGGAAGATCTCGTTTTAGTTCATTGTAGAGCCTCTCGTGGTCCAGCACCAGCACCACGTCCACCTCAAAGGCGGAGGCACAGTGGACCAGAGCCTGGTAACCAGAGCCCTTCACCCAGCCACATGTGTTGATGATACAGCCTCCCACGCTGGCTTTCCTGTTCACCTCACAGCGCTGAGAAAACACTTCAGCCAGGCACGATGTCAGCTTGTGGGGCATAAAAATACTTCAGGTCATTGCAGTGAACAAGATACACTGGATATAAATAAGTCCACACACATACAGTAACTGGGGTGTGGCTGTGTTCAGATTTAACCAATCATATTTGTATATGTTGAGTGGGTGTCAGCACACACAAACCACAATTTAAAATGCCTCTGATCAACCACAAATACATTCAAAAGTTCTATTCGGCTTTTCCCAACTTTTTTATTTTTGAAGGATTTGAGCTCGCACTGACAGTTATTTGGAACTGTTCAGAATTCCCTCCTTCACCTTGACTTAAAGCCCATCTGCAGATAAAGAAAAACAGCCCCAAAGCGTGATGCTTCACTGTAGGTGTGGCGTCTTATGATGAGCATTGTTGTTTTTTTTTCGCCATGCATACTTTTTAGAATTAAGGTCTACCTTTGGTTTAATCAGAATATAGCAAACCCTCACGGGTTTGAGAAGTTGGGACTACGATCATAAAAACATTATTTTGTGGTGGCACAAAAAACTGCAGGCTTCCACCAGAAAGGCAAAAATCTGGAAAAGCCTACTCGAACATTAGAAATTTAAATGTGGTTAATTAGAGGCCCTTTAGGTGGTGACAGTGTGTCCGCTGGCTCCTATTTAACATACGGTAAGTTTGAATGTGACCAGTTAAATGTGAACATAGCCATGACCCACTTATAAAATGGTGTGAACATGTGTGCAACCATATTACTTCAGTTGTTTATTTTTTACTCCCTCTCTAAAAACTATTTAAACATATCAATTAAGTTGGAGTTTGGAAATGATGTCATTTCATTTTTATACTGTATGTCACAAAAAAAGTGGCATTTGAACAGAAGCATGCAGATTTTCTACAGCCACTATAGCTACAGTTCAGTAAATGAATATGCCTTTTATTTAACACTCCAATGTTTGGTCTGACTTTCACCTTGTTGTAAAGTTTGATGTTGGTCCCTGGAGAAGTCGAGCCAAAGTGGTAGACCAAAGGAGCCTGGACTGAGAAGCCCTCTTCCACATCTGCTGGACGTTCGATGCACAGCGCTGACACTGTCCCTGGCACTGATACCTACAGAAAAAAATGTATTTCAAATCAAATATATTTCACTGTAAAGAAGATCCATCCATCCATCCATCCATCCATCCATCCATCCATCCATCCATCCAACCATCCATCCATCCATCCATTTTCTGATCCGCTGATCCTCACTAGGGATGTCTCCAAACTAATTAATGAGTAAACCGTATACCCATTCGGGTAAGATGGCAAAATTCCCGCAGAATGCCGGAAAGGAATAATTACATTAAAATACCAAGGACAAAGTTAGTCATATAAAACATTTTAGGATGCGGTCATTAACTTCAATTTACAATGATAACAAAAGAGATCCTTCTCAAAGTTAAGGCCAAATCGTGTACCTCACTTTTTCTTTAGCTTTTTTCTGTAAGGCAGTTAACTCAATTATCTGTATGAAAGTAAGAATTTAAAAAGTGAGACGAATGAAGCCGTCGTGCCTTCAACTATCCTTCATTTTCACTTCCTTGTTTGAAACATGTCATGTGACCATCAAAGATTGAGTAATTTGGTTGTAGTTTTATATTGTCTTACTATACACTAATTTATTTAATTACTGAGAAAAATGGTACTTAAGACATCCCACATATAGCTAATGATGGTTTAATGGTGTAACAGTTTTATTTTTGGACAAATTATTTAACTTTGACAGTAATGTATTTTCAAGGGGAAATTAGTACGGTATTAAAAATATGAACAAATATTAACACAGTCCAAGAACAAATTGTGTTCGACTTGGTTCCACAGGGGCAGAGCTACATGATGGCCATGGCCAACCCTCGTTCTCTTTATTTTTTTGCCTTTTTCACATGGATGCAGTATTCTCGACTCCCTAGGTACTTTGCCACCAGTTATTTATATTAAGTGTATATTTGAAGAACAAGAATATAAGTGATCTGAATGTTCCACTATATTTTTTATTTAAGCCAAGGAATCTGAAACTTACATAGTGCTGTGTCTGGAAGGTACAAGAGTTAAAACATTCGATTATGTTTCAAATAATTACAGCAATGTGCATGTCTATTGATCATACCCCGCTCTGGCCGACATCCAGTTCCACCAGCGTGGGTCTCCTGCCCACTCTCACGGCGTAGCTCAGTAAGAGTCGACACACCGTTGATTTGCCCACGTCAGTCGGTCCCACCACCATCACCTAGGAAAAAAGAAACAGTTAATGATATAAACTAAAACTCTTTTTCGATTACAGATGGCAACTCTGGTTTACATTGTGGGTACCTTGAGACAGAAGTTTAATTCATTATCAGATCACACTCATCACCCAATATACCATCCATCCATCAATCCATTTTCTGCACCGCTTATTCTGAACAGGAGCTCATCTCAGCTGACTTCAGGTGGAAGGCGGATTACACCCTGAACTGGTCATCAGTCAATCGCAGGGCATATAGAGATGAAGAACAATTCACACCCACATGCACACTGAGTGCTAACCCATTCCACGATGCACACACTCAAGTCAGGCAAGTGTTGCACTACACCATCAGCAACTCACTCAAAGCACATTTTTTCTCAATCATCTTTACCGATTACGGGAATGGAAATGCCATTAATCCGTTTTATAACCACTCCATGTAAAGTGCATTTGTTTCGTGTTATTTAACATGTAAAACAGCACTGTATATGGCAATATTGTACTGGATTAAAACAGTGTTAAACATGATTAAATATTTTTTGAATCATGATTAATTCACCGCATATTCTTGATGTGAGTGTGACAAGGCCACTGAGGATGCAGGGGGAGAGGATTGTTTTAGGTATACAACATGCATTTCTCCCTGTTTGATGTTTTGTTTCACCATAAACTTCAACTGCAATTGAGACCATAAGACAGGGGTAGGGAACTTCTTGAGAGCCATATCCTGCCTCTTTTAAATCTCTCTCTACTTCAATACACCCGATTCAAACGATCAGCTTATCTGCAAGCTCTGTAGAAGGCTGAAATGATCACGATCAATTGAATCAGATGTGTTAGAGAAGGGAGAGATTAAAACAGGCAGGATATGGCTCTCAAGGAACCAGAGTTCCAAACCCCTGCTATAGCAGCTTGGAGCACTTTTTTTTTGAAGAACTGTTCACTATCTGCCAAACTGCTACTTCTTGTGAAGTGGGTTAGGTTAAGCTCACAGACATCATAGAATGCTATGTACATCAAATCGGAGGGGGAAAAAATCAGCTTAATAATGGTTAGTATCTTGAAAGATTCATCACCAATGTATTCTATATTTCAGAATATAGAGCACTTTCGAGGTTTATGTTTCTGAAGGATATTCAAACCTACCCTTGGCCCTCTCTCATTGTCCCGCTCTGCCTGTTTTCTCATTTGTTCCAGCGCGGCATGAGTGTTCAGGTAGAGCAGCATGGGAGTATCTTTGGACACGTAAGCCACCTGAAGTAGTGACGGAAAGAAGCTGATAACTGAGCATGATGAAATGCTACTATCAAAAAGCCAAACAGACAGTGTGCCGTGCTGACCTCTGGTTTTCCATATAGGTTGACACTGCAACCTTGCCAGGTGAATACTGCGATCTTGGCGCCTGCTCCAAAAGTGTACTTCTTGTTTCGGTTCAGTTCTGACCCAAACACTTCTGCCATTCCTGTAAGGAGTTCTAACTCAACATGCTCCGCAGACTCCCCGGCTTCCACCTCGAAACGAAGTTCAGTCTCCTTCTCCAGGTCAAATCTGGTGCCGACTTTACCTGGTTGCAATGGATCGTCACTCGTCTTTTCTACCCCTTCTGTTGCCATGATAATGCTAAAAAGATGAAAAAACAGGGAAAATATGATCACATATTCATCAAGATCATACACCTGACACCTTGTTTCGATGTGATTAATTCTATGGGAAATTTAAAGAAAATGGCATATGTGTAACATATGTAATAGTAACCTCCTTATTGATAAATTTCATTGCATGAGAATTCGTTGAGAAACACTACTTCATCCACTGTGAAACTTGGTGTTAAATACGATTGCAAAGCTGTTGCTAACCGCTCAACTAAAACATAAGCGAAACAAAAGCGATACTAATTGCCTACTATTTTAAGTCCAAGCATCAACAATAACTTTCAAATGAATATAAACAATTCATATACATTAACGCCATACTTACACGTGTATTTACGAACTAATAACGTGTTTTCTGGGGTCAATCACTTTCGTGTGGGGTAGTGAGCGTCGCGTGTTGATGACGTCACTACACGCAACCAACAAGAGGCGAGTAGATGAATACGCGCATGACTTCCTCTCCGTACACCCTGCTGTGTCCGGTTGTTCCGTATGTTCTTCGCCTTTATGTGCATCTTATAGGGAAAAATCGACTACAAATATAAACTTGTAATGTCCTTTTAATACTATAAAAATAATTAAGATAGTTGAGATGTGCTGCACATCTAAACGTCTTTCGACGACATTATCCGTCATTAAGTGGCTTTGGGTTCGTCGTGTACACTGCTTAATTCCAAGTCATATAAATAATCCAATAACATAAAAAATGCAAAAAAAAGTAAGCATTTTATTTCGAGAGAGTGGAGAAAAAAACAGTCAAAATACCATAAATCTCAAACTTGGTACTCTACACTACAAACGCACAACAGAGTGGTAACGGATGTGTTTGTTCTATAATGGTCCAGTAGATGTCACCAAATGTTCAGATGCGTGAGCTGGAAAAGCTTGGTTCATCAGAGGAGAGACTGTGCATTCAGTTTGGTCACTCCTCATCATTCTGCTTCTACAAGCCACACCCATGAACAATTACCTGCACGAGATAGAAGATGGGCCTTTATAGACGTCAGTATTGTAATTTATCACAACTTTGAGTGGCAGCTGGTTAACCCAACAGCCCAAGGATCCCTGGTTTTAAATGTAAAATGACAAAGTGTCCATGCCTTGCAACTTCAGGAAATTAAATTTTAATTTGAAGTGTAATTCCAATCATGTCACAGCTGCACTTGATCAAATGTCAGATGCCCCAAATAAATCCAGACATTTCTTTCGTTGAGAGAAAAAACTGTGGCTCTTATCATGAAGAACTCATTACTATTCCTAAATCAGGATACCACTGCATCTTTCAAAATGACAAACCTTCTCTAAGCATCTAGTCAGCACCGACAGCCTCCAGTAGAGCAGAAACTACAACATCAGGTTCTGGAAATTTGAGTTTACGAGGTGGCCCCTTTTTTATTCCTGTCCAGAGAGGTGTTTCTATTGACATGAGACACAAGAAAAGATAGAAGTATAAGAATTAGCATTCACATTGAGGATGGTAATGATGGGAAACACAGCGCAAGTCATCCTGCACACACCCTCTTCCATTCCCTCAGGAGGCTACGGGAGCATCCCGAGCAGTACCACAAGGCAGAGGAACGCTTCTTTCTGCAAACTGCTAAGACTGTTAAACTCAAACAGTGCTCTGCAGCCCCCATTTGTATTCGTCCCTGCACATCAAGCACTTTATTGTTGAACACATTATGATCTACATTTTGTTGTTCCGCAAACCACAATTCCAGTGAAATCAAGGCTGAGACCTTGGCTATTGTATTATAAATACAATAAAATTCCTTGGAATGTTTGGCATTAAACACAATCAAGGTGCAATTCCAAGTTGTCCCAATTTCAGTTTTCCAATGAGAAATGTAATCTTGATTGATTGAACATAATCTCAGTTCCAGTTAAATAATTGTAGAAACCTTGTTCTAAATCAGGGAAGGACAACTGGCAGCCTGCGACCACACTTGAGTGGCCCCTTGATTTAAAATAAATAAATAAATAGACAAACAAAAACAACAAATATTTTGTTTTATCGTTACAAAGCCAAATAATTCTCCCAAAAACACTGACAAACATTCTATATACATTTTACCATGAGGAACCAGGGGAAATGGGTTGGGGAGTGTGAGGGCATGTGGTTATTTTGTCGTTTGCTTCAAATACTTTGTTGTTGGGTTTGGACCTAAACATATTAAGATAATGTATGTGCATGTATATTGCCCATATTTAAACGAGCATTTTTGTCATAAATCTAGATAGGACGTACGTGGTCATATGAGACTCCCATGTAGAACTGATGAAAAATTGTGCTCCCTTCCAGCATTTAAATTGCCCATCTCTCTTCCAAGTAACATCTAAACATTTTTAATGGTCATGCAAGTATAAAAGTACTTAACACAATTAAGTCCTTTCATTCAGCTCACCTTTGCCTCCCTCTATGAGAGTGATCTCAAAGCTGTTCCTGCGAGGCTTCTCTGGGTTGAGGACCACAGTCAGCTCTGGGCGTGCAGCCAAAAGGGCAGCTTTTACCCCCTCGGCATTACGCCCATACACTCGTCAGCTCTTACTGCCAAAAATAACAGATCATCACAAAAATGTTAGTGCTGCTTACCAAGCTGCCATACCACTTTTTTTTTGCCTGAGTATGAGTACAAGTACTTTTGAGTGTTTGTCAATACAGAGTGCTGGTATGTGTTAATGTCATTCTGTCTTTTAATTATGATGAAAATTTGTTGTCTTTCAATTAAACACACACACACACACACACTAATAGGATGGTTTTGACCATTCTCACCCCTTGTACACTGAACGGTAATCAGAGATTTCTTGGGGGAGGGAAGAATTCCCGAAAGTGGGAGTCAATTATATGCAGCTTCTCGCTATTCGCAGGCCAGCCCCAACCTTGCCTGCAAGCTGAATCCTTGTGGTATTTGTGAATTCACAAAACCCTGAGAATCTACCTTGTCCAGTGCCCACTGATTTGTTCCGAGCCAAAGCAACAGTATGTTTCGGGGTGGGATGTGCGGCTCTGACAAAAACATTTATTAGTTGACAATCAGCTTGAATCAAAAATCGTCTGTAATTTAAAACGCCCTTTATCCGCATATATGCATTGCAAAATGAACAACTATCACTCAATGCCATGATGCTATCTGCGCAATAATTGAGATCACAGGACTCAGCTCGTCAAAACAAGGTGAATGCCGGTGACATTTTCATCTGTTCCCATGATTGGTCAAAACTCAACTTTGGGATGCATGCCCAAATTGCTGCTTCGCCCAATCAGCGCAAAGAATTGGAGTAAATGTTCTCACTTTCCTGAGCAGATCACATTGGAGCAGTGCCAGCTTGATAGTGTGGAGAGCTCCTTTGAGTGATTCACGTATAAATCTGGCTCTTCCCAGGTTAGGCCGGGAAAAGCGGGAGTCAACTGCATATAAATTAAGCTACAGGCAGAATCAACCAGGTAGACTCCAAGGCATCTACAGTGGAGTTGGGTTAACTTACAGAGAGACACACTACTGTATGATGTATGGTCTGTATGGAGGACTTGACAGAACAATGAATACTCTGACTGCTTATGTATTGTAATCTCAACATTGAACACCAGCTCTGGACATGTAGGCCACTGTTGTCTTTTGTATGACATACATGCTTACCAGTGTTCAATCACCACTCTTTGGCCTTGCAGCATAGGCACCGCTTCTTCTTTTGCTGCCTTGGCGGGTTTCTGCTTCTCCTCCTCGTCCTCAGTTTTGCGCTTTCTCCCACGACGGCCTAAAGACATCATCGCGTTATCCAACTTTTTTTTTCATATATAAACATATGTTTGTTCGTTTGTGTTTTTCTGAATAACATGCAACAAAACGTACATTTTGACCCCACTCATTCAATTACAGCAGAACGATGAAGCCCACAAGTTGTGGTGTTGTATTTGAAATATTGAAATTTAAAAAAGTAATTTCACCCACTTTAGAACATGAATGGCAACAGAAAAATCCCCCAAGTAACAATGGAAACTAGAATAAACTAACTTTTGTAACGACGTTTGTTTTTAAGACGTGATGTAAGCAACAGTGGAGTTTTTAGAGACCAAACCTAAATGAGGACATGACCGACCTGCTCCGGACGCCATAGTTGTTATGAAACTTTCGCGGTTAGCGGACTGTACTAACACGCCAATGTTGATGGGGGTGTGGATGAAACCATTACTAAACCTTTGGGGAATAATCACGGTACCCCAACTGGGAAAAGCAAACCTTGATTGCGTTCACCCATTACACCACAGGTTGTCAAAGTTTATGGGTCCAGAGTACACTGACAGCGGGGAAAAATGGGGGCTAAAATTTTCAAGAACACCTTCTAATCTCCAGGCATTGAAATCTAACTTGAAAACTTTATTGTTCACTGCAAGCGGCTACATAATACAGAAATATCATGTCACTATCTTGCTTTTCATTTACGTGTTTCTCTGTTCTGCTTTTATCTTGAGTTTCAGCTTTTGATATAATACATTTATTTATTTACTTGCCTCCATAAAGCACGATGGATTTGATCATCAATTAGGGCTGGACGGTTATGGAAAAAATAATCACGATTATTTCGATTTTGATTAAAATCATGATTGAATTTAATTCCTAAGCATCACTCTTATCTCTTTATAATAATAAATAATAATAATAATACATTTTATTTGAAGCGCCTTTCACAACACCCAAGGACACTTTACAGACGAGCAAACAATAAGACAAATAAAAAATAAATAAAACCACAGATAAAATTATAGATACAAGAGATATATTTAAGTGGAATAAGCCAGTCTGAAAAGGTGAGTTTTGAGCTGGGTTTTGAATGTGGGAAGAGAATCAATGTTGCGAATATTGGGTGCAAGTGAGTTCCAGAGTTTGGGGGCAGAGCAGCTGAAGGCTCTGCACCCCATTGTGCTGAGACGGGCAGAGGGTACAGAAAGATGGAGGGAGGATGAAGACCTGAGTGAGCAGGAAGGGATAGAGATCTGAAGGAGATCTGATAGATAGGGGGGGGGGGGGGGGGGGTGG